AGACCAGAGACGCAAATAGCGCAAGAGGGCGAGGTGGACTCCCCCGGCAAGACTCTTGCCGGGGTGGCTTCCGCAGCCTCGGCAAGATCCTTTCTGGGGCAACTTGCATGACGCCAGCAGAGCACGCCACCCTTGAGCCTAAGGGGTTCCTACGCCATATTGGAACCAAGGCTCGGGAGGCTCCTCCGTGGTGGCATGCAGATCTTCGTAGAGATCATAGACACACAATGTCAGATGGAAACCAGAAGACGACGATTCTTGGCGAGATCCTTGCCATGGAAATCCACGAGACCACCGGCAAGGTCCTTGCCGGGGACGACCGCGGCGCCGCAGCGAGACCCTTGCGGGGCACTCGGCAAGACCCTTGACGAGGATGCTTGCGGGGCCGCAGCCAGGCCCGCGTCTTCCAAAGACTCCACCGCCGCTCCCATATAGCTGCCAGCTCAACCAACTGGACAGGCATCTGCGTGGCAGCGCGCGGCCTCTACACCAACTCAGCAAGCACCTGTGTGGTGGTATGCAGATCTTCGTGAAGGCTCCACCACCGCGCCAGAACAGCGACCAGCCAACGTGGCGCTACAACGCCTCGTCAGCTTGGACGCGCGTCGGAGCTAGGCGAGGCGACGACAGCTGAGACGAGCTTCCTTGCCCTCGCCAATAAAGCAAGAGGGGCACGTCGGCAGCGCATTAAATGCGTTTCTCCGACGGTGCTAGGGGATAGACTCAGCCCCTGTACACCTTTCCACCTCCTGTGCACCACTGTGGCAAGCCCTTTTTGTCTATAAAAGGAGGCCCGAGGCGTACTGGAGGGGGATTCGGATCTCTTGGACTAGAAAGCCACCGCAGCTATTTCAAGAACACAAGAACACCTCAATACACATACAAGAAGGACTAGGGTTTTACGCGTCTCCGCGGCCCGAAACTGGGTAAACGATTTGTGTGCTGACCGCCAGACCCACTCTTTGCACAACCCCGTGCCCGTCAACCGTAGAAGGGATCCCAGTGACCCCATAGTTGTTCTTTCCCACCGACAGTGCAACCATGGGGATGGCTTCAGGTGGCGCGGTGACCGCATGCGGCAACACTACAGTCGGAAGAGGCGGTGTAGCGGCGGCTCGCAGGTCGGGGCAGCCGCGTGGAGAACAACTAGCCAAGGGCGATGGCCTGACGGGAGGTGGCATGGACCACGTGTCGCGGCGCGATAGCCGTAAGTGGCGACGCAGAGGCGGCGGCGGCTACAGGGGTAGCCGGCGGGAGGATCTCAGGGCGACGACATGGACCGCGGGTCATGACGCGACAGCCCGAAGGGGCATCGGCTGGCGCGGCGCGCAGGTCGGTGCAGCCACGGGCATGATCTTGAGTGGACGACCTCGGGGTGGCGGTGGACCATGGTGGTACACGCGTTGCTAGTGCGGGCGAGGCATGGCGTCGATCTGCTGCTTGGTGATGGGGTGCGGGTGGAGGCAAGAACCTCCCTTCTCCTAGGGACGGGCCGATGGGTGGCTATGACCTAGGGTTTGTGCTCGGCAGACCAGATCTGGGCCAGAGGCAGATTAGAGAGCTTGCTCCGGGTAGGTGCGGTGGTGTGCAGTCCGGGTTGTGCGCACGGGTGGTGCTCTTGCCCTACTCGCGGGTGTGGTGATCGGTGGTGGTGGTCGTGATACCGTTGCGTTGCTGGGCGGATCGGCGTCGGTGGCCATGGACATGGCATCATGCATGCTAGCTTGGGCGAGGTCCTGGCTGTCTTGCCGATGGCCGTCGATAGTCATGGAGTCGTGCCCCCTCCCAGTCCACCAGGCTTGGCTGGGGACACAAGCGTGGGTGCCTCCTACGGTGGAGGCGCCCACCCAGGCTCGGTGACTGATGCCGGGCTAGGAGTAGGGGGCGTGCCTATTCTCTTCCTACAAGGCCGAGTGCGCTGTGAAGTGAGCGGTGGACGGTGTCTCACGACAGGGATGCTGGGTTGGCGCCCTCGGATGGCGGTCAGCATCATTTGCTTGTCGGCAGGCACCATTGCGGCGATGGTGGCTCTCCTTCATGGTCGTGTGGGCGGCAGGAGGTGTAGCGGTGGTTGGCTTGGGCGTGCTCTCCCCTGGGATGTCGCCCTGATCAGGGATTTGACCTCGTCGCGCTCGTCCTTGCGGCCTCGCGGTGGTGCGGGTGAGTTGCCGAGCGAAAGCTCCGCGCCCTTGGCGCCGACGATAGCGACACCCATGGGCACCGCACTCTTCTTGAAGACGTCGGTTTGGTTCTTCTCTCCGTGCCAGGGCTCCGGGTGAAGACCTTTGTCCGTTGTGGACTTGGCAGCGGCGACGCTCAGCGCCGTTCTCCCTCCCTCTTGAGGGCGTTGTCGTGGAGCTTAGGTGTATTTGGTTGTAGCGTGGCGGTGTGTGTAGATCTTCCCGTGTTCTCTATTGGTAGCGTAGTCGCGTTCGTTCTGCTTGATCCGATTATCCTGGGATCGGCTTTGTAAGAAGGCGACCTCACGACCTTGTATTATTCCGTTGTGCTCTTTCATCGGTTGTTTCTGTATTTATAAAGTGGGGCAAAAGCCTGTTTCGAGGGTTCTCACTGCATTCTGTCATTTCAAAGCGCAGTTTTCCAACAGAATATGAGCCATTTGAAATTTGTCAGTGGGGTTATAGTAGAATTTGTTAGAGGACAAGACATGTAGTGAATTAAGGTGGCATGCTTTAAACTGGGCATAAGGATTATCGCCAAACACTTATTTAGCAATTGATTATAATCTAATGAACATGTGGTGTTCACGTTCATATGCTTCAGTTCGGTTCAATCTGTTGGGTAGCTTGCCATTGATGATCATAACAAGATAGTAACAAACGAGGACTTTACTACCACAGGTAAATAAGAAGAAACTAACACATCTCTAGTCTAGACCTCCATATCAGACACTAGGAGCCATGAAGCAACACTAGAATGCGGCCGATGAGGTAGGCATCGGTGGCCTCCTCTAGCGCGGAGACAGCAGAGCTCCGGATAATGCATAAGTTTCATTAAAGTTTTCTAGATACGCATTAGCAGGCAGCGACTCACACTGCTTGCTAAATCCTACTACTAGTATAAAATCTGCAAGTCGAAAGATAATCAATCTCAGTAGAAATGCAACAAGCAAGTCATATCAATCTCGGTAGAAACACATCATCGCAAAGAAAGCAATTGCATTAATTCCAACATATTGGAGCATCTTCCAACTCCCAGGTCACACTGATGGGATTCAACATTCATCAGTCACAACTAAGAAAATTAAGACTCCAAATACTGAGTTCGAAACCAGGTAGAAATTCAACAAACACACACATACAAGAAATCCAACATCAAAATCCGTCCCTGCTGATACAACATGGGAGATAATCATATGCAAGAAAGTTCACTTCGGAGTTAAGAGTTGTGTTCATGCTGGGTTGGTATCTCCGCGTCGAGCATACAAATGGAAGAAACTACACTTGACAACCCATTTTTGCATCTGAGACACCAGAATGTAGTTGTAGATACCTGTGGAGCAAAAAAAAATCATCAGTAAACATAAAACCTTGTACTACTCATTCTTGAGAAGTTGTTGGGATTTTTCTCCTAATTCTTCCATGACTCAACCAGAAAACATTGGCTTCACAATTGTGGAAATTGTGTCATAAGCTCCAGCGACAAACCATCACACCGTTATTAGACAAAATCAACACTCGAAACAGAGAACAACAAAAGGCAATACATCTCGTGTGTAGAGGCTCATGGGGTAGGATAGCAGGTTCTAGCTCTAAGGCATACTTTTTCGGAATGTACAACTGCCTAGTCACTAACAAATTGATTTTCATCAAATTCTCAGAGTACATATAACTGAAATCATGCATACTACACTTCAGACTTCCTTCGGTCCTAAAGGATTGTTATTTCTTACTCTCCACATCATCAAGCAATACTTTCACCACTACTTTATTGATAATATGCCAGTAAAAGCAAAAAAAAAACTGGCATTAGGATAAAATAAGTTTTTTATGGTGAATCTAGTCATGCCATTTTGCTCATGTGTTTCATAGTATGAAGTATTAAACATCAATAATGGCCAAAACTGGAAAAAAAGTATACTCCACACAAAGCATACTACGTACCTATAGTTTGGACCAGCCAAATCATATTAGTGGCTAATAGACAGTAACATACATATGCAAGTTTGGCGGATAACGAGTGACATGATGAGAAAATGTTTAACCAAACAGCCTAAAACTAAAACAATCGTCCATAAATCTACAATAACCACAGTGAAAAAGATAAACAGCAGAATAATATTTAATCTAGTGACAGTTGTTAGTTCACTAGATATCATAATGATCCAAACAAGAAGCAACGTAAAATGGCAAGCCTGTAAGTCCGCTGAAAAAAAGGAAATTTGAAACCAGATGCACAAGTATTGTCAGTTATCAATCACTTATGTATATTCAAATCACACTAGGACACAATAGACCCATGGCCACAGAAAACAGAAGTCAAAGGCAATGCAGCAATGAGTAAAAGTAAAACAGAAATATATCCTAGCATGAAAGAATTCTCATCTCCGAGAAGGCACTATCGATCATATGCACACATAGGAAATGAGGAGCGGCCCTGAGTCACCAATCACAAGAAGGGCTAGAGGGAGAAGAGCCCACCCATTACCAGCAGAAATTGGAAGATCAACAATTAAAAGTCATCAGGAAGAGAATGAAGGCTGATGAGGAAGGAATGAGAAAGCTGAGCTTGGAGAAAAGATTAAATATTTAGCCTGACAAACCATGATAGAAGGTGGCCAGGTGGGAAGAGTTAAGCAAAGAGTTGTAGAGAAAATCTTAAAAGAGTCCTCACTTGCATTTTGCTACTTGAGAAATGACGGTGAAGCATCAAAGCGATCCGTTTTATAAGAATAGTTTAGATAGCTCAACATACATGGAAAAGATAAGGTTACCTATTCAACCGGCACATCACATGGCATATCTGACTGGAGAATCATCTTATGTATTATGCAAAAGATCAGCTCCATCATGTCCACCACGGATGCTTGTTTCTGCAAGCATAATAAGTAGAACAACCAATGACATTCCAATGCAAAGCCAAATAGATACGAGGAAGCATACAAAATATTTAGATAGAAAATTGTTGTTCAAAAAGGAATCAATCTTGATACAACATTAGGAATACATAAATAAAAGCATATCTACTTTCAAAGTTAATGAACATTCCAAAAATAGTATAAGCTGGTCAGAAGAGACAAGGGTATCAAACTAATAAATTCTACAAACACATTTAAGTCAATAAAATCCTAGCAACAGAAGTTATCGAGACTATTAAGATTTGGATTACCTTCAAAAAACATAGCCTAAAAAGACCGTACTAATAAATCCAAGGAACATAAGTGATTGGGACTATTCAGATTTAGATTATCTTCAAATAAATTTAGCCCGAAAAATGAAATAAACTCAACCTATTACTTTTGCCTGGTACAAATGCACTTGCTACTCGCCCACAATAGGATTCTCCTAAAAGTGATAAAAGGAACAATTGTCTAGTAAAACAATTTTGTTATTATCGATTTGTGATTAATAGCAAGATCAGCAGAGATATTAATATTGAATCGAAGGAAGAGAAGTAGCTTTCAGCTTCCAATGTCCACATTGAGCTACCTATTTGACATTTCAGTTCGTACAATCAAGTTGTAGTGTAGTTGTCTTCAACTTCCAACTGTTATATTACCTTATCTGGCGGAAAAACTGCAGCTATCGTATACCTCCTCCATCCCACAATATAAGAACATTTTTGATGATGAGGCGCGAATTAGTGAGACACGGTAATGCAAAAGTGTTGGCGCCCAATCATTTGCAGTGCTCAATGAAGCAACTCTAAACTATAGTGGCAGCAGACACTTTGGATCAAGCAAGAAGCAAGAAACCGAAGCTGACACCCAGATTGATTTGATCAATCTTGACACTAGCAACTCACTGTTGACCTCTCAGGAAAGTAAGAAGCAAAGGATTTGGTGCCACCCAAGTACCCAACCATTGTGGCAGTTTCTGCTTTTCTACTGAATTTGAAATTCAACTCCTTATATGGCCAAAGCCATCCCATGAGGCCATGATATAGCGTAGCCAACTTGTTTTCCATGCCTTGTCCATGCAATAACATGGGACTAGAAATCAAAATCCTTAAATTATTGGACTCTCGTCGTCTAAAAACAAGCTAGTCATAACTTAACTAATCAATGATCTATCAATGCTGATCATCTAAATCCTTCAACAAACAATTAACAATCATCAAACAAAAAAAGGCGATCCAGCAATTGATCACCTAGATCCTGCAGCAACCAACTATGACTCATCAAGCTAAAAAATAGGTTATCAGGTTAGGTGTGTGTCCCGAAACAGGCTCAGGCTCTCCTAGGGATGGCACTTCTCCTCTTCTGCAGGAAGAACTAAAATCTCGATTGGAATTGTACCTACCAAAAAAGTCTGAGTCGTTTCTCCTTCAGCCTAAGTACTAGTAAATGTGCTATTTTTCACTGCTTTCTGAACAAAACAATTCGGCAACGGTCGCAGGCAAATACCCTGACCTGACTAGTAAACAAAAGTAGGTATCCGATCCATTGTTTTTCTTCGCAAAAAAAGAAAAGAAAAGGTATCCATTATTTTTTTTCTCGAATGCTCACCCAAATGTGCATCGCTGTGCATTAGAATGAAATGTCAAGACGAGGCAAAAATGCAAGAGGCTGAAACTCAGAAAAACAAAACTGAAGAGAAGAAGAGAAAACTAAAGCAACACGGTACAAGGGCTGCGTGCTAGCAGAACTTAGAGCTTTGACTTGTTTTATTGTATTAATATTCCATATCTTATAATAAAGTGATAAACCCAATATGCTAGGTCTGACTTGAACCACAAAAATCACAGAAATGAGCCGCAACAAAGGTAAGTAAATTAGATACCACTGGTAGCCACCAGTAACAAAAATCCATTGTTTTATTGTATGTATTTTTTTCCCATTTAATCCTGAGTGCGATGATTAAGAGGGGAAAGTGGGCCTCCTTTTCTCACACACGGATCGTGTGACACGTGTGTAGGAGGAAGACAAAGGGACAATGGGTTTGTACGGGAGGGGACTCAGTGCGAGCCGGTCGGTTTCAAAATGGGAATGGTATAAGTGGGGCTAGTTTCGTTCATACAGCATTAGTAACCCCCATGCGCCCTTCTTTCCCGCAAAACGCGTGGGGGGTTTTCCCGCGCTTCCTTTGAAATACGGAGAGAAAATACTACTTTCAAGGTCATAATTATTACATAGAAGGCCACCATGCAAGCAGAACCCGATAGCCGCAAAGCACATCATCGCAATATATATGTTGAAGATGCCATCAAGCAGCAAAAGAAAGAAGTACAGTTACGAGACTACTTGAAATTGCTAACTTAACACGGAAGCTTATGAACGGTATTTCCATCAACCAATTATCGAAAACTAACTTTCTTCTTTTTATACTTATATACACGTATGTATGGTGTGAAGCAAGATATGACGTACCAGCAGCGTAGACGCTTTCAAACGCATGACAACAGGACAACGCTGCCTTGGGTCTGGCAAGCTTCTTGAACTGCATTGAGTCGAGTTGGATCATGAAGAAGCCCCTTAGCATATCCATGAGTACCACATTGTTGTCCTCTGCAAACCCTACGATCCTTATGTTCTCCTTCCCTGAACGGAGCGAAAGTAACTTGTCGAGTTCGATAGACCTTCCGATCACCCATGAAGCAACACCATCGGCATCGGTCTTCCTGCTCCATAGCTGGGCAATGTAGTTTGAATTGGACATGAAGAGGAAACCTATCCCACCACCACCACCCTTGGCCCGCATAAGCTTGAAGCAGTTGCCCTTGCTATAGATTGGCACCGGCACCGGCATTACGTCCAGCATCTGCCTCTCCAAATCAAACTGGAGAATTCCTTGGAAATTCCCAATGAGCTGCCAGTAAAGGGAATCTCCAGCCAACACAGCATGATCCATGTAAACGCTGGTGGAATACCTCAAAAATAAGCTGCTCGCATGACCATGGTTTGGAAGGGGTGTTGTGATGAACCCTCCCCATGCGCCGGTCTCCGACGAGTAGACGCAGGCCACTGCTCGTCGGTTTTCTTGCCCACCGTCTGCTGCCACCAAGACCACCTGAAAGTCCTCGGAGTCTCCAGCGGCAGCGCGAAGCACCGCCCCGTTGATCAGGCGCTCATCCCAACCATTAGTCGTGAGCCCCGGGGGAACATCCAGGCGGTGCTGGTCGCCGGTGAAGGGGTCCCACACCAGTACCTGAAGACGCTTGGGGACTATGATTAGCATCAGACCGTGGCGGCTTCCGAGCGGCCTGCAAACGCCGTCGCCCTCGTCGCGCTGCAGCGAGAAGCGCTCGGGAGCGACGCGGTCGGGGGCCTCCAGCGTCGGCATGAAGTCCAGGCTTCCGCACCCGTCGAAGAAGCCGAGGAGGGGAGGGTTGCGGCGGTGGTGGAGGCGGAATCGGCGGCGGAATCCCGGGTCGGCGACGTGGTTGCGCCAGCGCGTGCAAGCGAGGGATGCGCGCGGGAGCGAGGAAGGATCCGGAGGAAGGCGGAGGAGGATCTGGGGTAGCAGGTTGTCGTCCTCTAGCGGAGACGCCGGCGACGGCGGGTGGCTGCTGGCCGGCATCTTGCCCTCTCGTCGCCGATGCGGGAAGGGATAGAGCGATGCGGGGGGTGCTGAAACTGAAACTGAAGTGGGGTGCCAGCAGTAGACTGCGGTGCGGGGTGTTGAAAGTGAAACTGACGCGGCGGGATGCGGGATGAAAATATCGGTCGGGAGCTCACGCTGTGGTGTCTTGGGCTGGAGGCCCACGCTGTGTTGTGGACTCTATCATTTACTCAAAAAAGTGTCCCCTAGAAAAAATCTACTAAAGAAAAGAAAAACTTCGGCTGTGGAATTGTCTACCTTTTCTGCCCCCCTCAATTTTTTTTTAAAAATCAATTCACTGGTGTGGAATCCATAAGATGTAAAAACCGTTCCCCTTTGGCTTGTCCAATTCCCCGAGTGGATCACAACAAAGCAAATCCATCTACCTTTTCTGCAAGAAAGAAATGAGAATTTTTTTTTCTTAAAATTCAGAAGTCACTTCAAAGTCTGCGCGGCACCACGAGGAAAGAACAAGAAAAAACATGTCACAGATGAAGCAGCATTCCCTCCTAATGACTGAATCAGTAGGAGGAACTATCCTTTTTTGAATCACATATCCCTTTCTTTATTTACGATTCAACCAAGGTTACATCACTTAATAAGAGAGGGATGAGCTCACTAGGAGGCTCAACAAAAAAAACTATTACAAGACGGGCCATTAGCCAAATTTGCTAATTCATGAGCAACAGAATTAGTCTCCCTAAGACACTGCACAAATGAGGTATAAGGGAAGCTGCACGCGATATGATAGCAATCATCAAAGACTGTTGCCGCTGGACCTGCAGATCGCCCTCCTTCATTCATTGTACTTATAACGTCAATATTATCTGAATTGACAATAACCTTGCTGCAACCGATTGTTTGTGCTAGGCAAAGACCATATCGCAATGCAATATCTTTAGCAGATAGCACATGGTAACAGAAGTCAAATTTCCAGTTCCCTGCATTTTTGAATTTTCTTTCCATGGCGGAGCTTCCTTCTCTCCCACCATAGATACCAACAAGTGATAACTATTATTTCATGCACTTTCTTTTGCGCTAGCACAAATATCTCATATTCTGGCAACTCCAGGAGATACCCAACACACATTCTTCTACTCTATCTGTTAGATGTGCATTACTAATAATGTTAATTATCCAGCCCAAGTTTATTCCAAATTTGCATAGTTGCTGGATACTGAAACAATGCGTGTAGTATCAGCCCATGTTATGCAAGCAGGGCATTGTGGTGATGATACCTTAACATGTCTGTTTGAAAGATTAACACGAAAGGTAAAGTTCCATGAAGAGCTTCCAAACTCCAAATTAATTGCCACACACTTCCGACCTGCATTGTTTCTTGACCATTTGGTTCACATAGGTTGCCCCCGAATCTATGATCCCACTCAACATAATATGATGATTTCACATAAAGCCTGAAATTTTCTGTCATACCCCATGCAACAAAGTCAAGCATATCCTGATTTGGAAGCGGCATTGCTAAGATTCGGTGAACATACACCTGTCAGAATGTTTGCCTCTCTTGTTCCTCATCCTACGGCTTAGTACTAGGATCAATCAAGTCATTTATTACATTGAGCCTGGACTTTATTACATTGAAAAGAAAAGGTAGCTAAAACCCTGGAGGGAGCTGCTCGGTCAGAGTGACCAAGCCGTTCGTGCCATATTTCAGAGTTGGTTGCATTGGCGAATAGAGCTGTTGATCTGGTGGAGGGGACATCGCGGAGTGGATAAAGCTCGCCGGGGCTGTTACATCGGAGCACCACCATCTCTGAGTGAAGATCCTTAACAGACAAGTCGAACAGGTCTAATGCAATTAATACAAAATTGTTGCGAGTAAGAGCACGAACAAAAACTAAATTCTTAATGAGAAAGGGAGAGATCAGGACATGGTTAAGCCGTAAAAGATTGGAGGAAGGCGGGACATTCCCACCACGTCACTATAAGGCATCCGTGTAGAGGAACTAGTCGAAAGTAGGGTTACTGTTGGATGGAGAAGAGCGCTTGCGAAAGCGTGGGGCATCCCATCAGTTATCGGGGGACGGCGCACGTGGCGAGGGCCTCACACGAAGGGCGCGCCATAAGAAAGGAGGCACACGGTACGGCGCAAGCGGACCGTTGATGGGGCACCGGTGGCGGAGCGCTTTGGGGTGACGCAGTGAGCCCGAAGGTGGGGCGTGGGCCTAGAATGATGACATCAGGAGGCCGCGGCTGCACCGGCTAAGCATCAAAGGTGTTGCCCTTCAACGGGTTGAAGCTCGACGACGGCATTGGGGAAGGAGGCCATGGGGACGCGGGTTGGCCCTGTTGCACAGGGACGAGGCTCCTCTGACGTACTGCAGGGAGCAGTTGGGCCACTGACAGGTGGGCCCGAAAGCAAGTTGGCCCACCTGTCAGTGACCCAACTGCTCCCTGCAGTACGTCAGGGGAGCCGAGTCCGTTGCACAGGGTACTGACTGCTGGAGTTGCCGCCCTTGCGGCACTTGCGGTCACACTAACCGCCATGGGAGGTGGCCGACTGCGATGTTAGAGTTGGGGGTTCGGGTGCGCGACCAGCGTAGAAGGCAATAGCTGTCTCATGCGTGGAGAGGTGGGAAAGGTGATTCTCCTCCTGTAGGAGATAGAAGCGGACCTGATTGGAGGTGGAGAGGCCCGTGTCATCGTAGGAGAGGGTGGCGATGACATGGTCGAACTTCTGGCTAAGCCTACGGATCATGTTGGAGACGATTGCGTGCTCGCACTGCGGGATGCCACAGTCGGCGACCGTCTTGACGAGGGTCTTCAACTTGGGGTAGTACTCCTGGATTGGGAAATGGCACTTAAAAAGTCCATGAAATTATCAGAGCGTCTACACACCTTGTTGATTGCCGTTGGAGCAAAAAAGGGTCCGGATCGCCATGAACAACACGTTGGCCATGGGGTGGTTGACGTGGATGGTGCCGAGGATCTCCTCTAAGACTAGCCACAGTGAGGAGTAACTTAGACTAGTAACATACATATGTTAGTAGTCTATATGTTAGTACCTCTATAATGGGGAGTAACATATGCGTGTGGTGCCATGCAACACTTCATTTATTAGGTTATAGACTCATATTGCCTTGATATGAATGTTATTCATACTAGTAGTTACTAGCTATGTTACCACATGCATCCCTTTCTTCATTAAATGCTTGCCACATCATCTATTTTATCTAGATATGTGTGATGTTACCATCTATGTTACTCCCACTGTGGCTAGTCTAAGATGACGTTGTAGAGCCACACCGGATGATGCACCGGTCCACCTAGGGCCACACATGGTTGGAGAGGCACTGGGGCGTGTAGGATCGAAAATATGTCTAGAGGGGGGTGATTAGACTACTTGACCAAATAAAAATCTAGCCTTTTCCCAATTTTAAGTCTTGGCAGATTTTAGCAACTTGGAACTAGTCAAGTAAACAACCTATACATGCAAGTCTAAGAGTATAGCAGCGGAATGTGAAACATTGCACATAAAGGTAAAGGTAGGAGTTTGGAGGGAGCAAACGCAATGTAGACACAAAATTTTTTGGCGTGGTTCTGATAGGTGATGCTATCATACATCCACGTTGATGGAGACTTCAACCCACCAAGGGTAACGGTTGCGCGAGTCCACGAAGGGCTCCACCCACGAAGGGTCCACGAAGAAGCAATGTTGTCTATCCCACCATGGCCATCGCCCACGAAGGACTTGCCTCACTAGGGTAGATCTTCACGAAGTAGGCGATCTCCTTGCCCGTACAAACTTCTTGGTTCAACTCCACAATCTTGACGGAGGCTCCCAAGTGACACCTAACCAATCTAGGAGACAGCACTCTCCAAAAGGTAATAGACGGTGTGTTGATGATGAACTTCTTGCTCTTGTGCTTCAAATGATAGTCTCCCCAATACTCAACTCACTCTCACTGATTTGGATTTGATGAAGAGATGATTTGAGTGGAAAGCAACTTGGAGAAGGCTAGAGATAAAGATTCATATGGTTGGAATGGAATATCTTGACCTCAAAACATGAGTTGGTGGTTCTCTCTCAAACTCTCTGTTTCATTTTTCGGTCCCACCGAGTTTGGAATGGAATATCTTGACCTCAAAACATGAGTTGGTGGTTCTCTCTCAAAAAATGTATGATGGAAGTGTTGGCATGTTCTGATGGCTCTCCTCACGAATGAAGAGTGGGTGGAGGGGTATATATAGCCTCCACACAAAATCTAACCGTTACATACAAATCACCAAACTCGGTGGGACCGAAAAATGAAACTCGGTTGAACCGATTTAGTTCTAAATGTGAATGTTAGGATTTTCTGTGGGACCAACATGTCAACTCGGTGAGACCGATTTCATTAGGGTTAGGGCATAAAGTAATCTCGGCGAGACCGATTACACAAACTCGGTGGGACCGATTTTGGTAATAAGCTAACCAGAGAATTGGCCAGGCAAACTCGGTGGGACCGATTCGCTCATCTCGGTGAGACCGAAACGTTACGAAGGGGAAACATAGAGTTTGCATTGGGAACTCGGTGGTACCGATCGTTCGTTTCGGTTGGACCGAAATGTTACGAAGGGAAACAGAGAGTTTACAATCACATCTCGGTGAGACCGAAAAGACTAGGATTTTCTAGCAGTGGCTATGTCAATTGAACTAGGTGGCGCCAGATGGAAAGTTTCGATGGGGCCGAGTTTGAGTTTTGGTTTGGGACATATGTGGATATGAGAAAGTGATTGAGGATTTTTGGAGCATATCACTAAGCATTTTGAGCAAGCAACCCATTAAGCAACACCTCATCCCCTTTTAATAGTATTGGCTTTTCCTATGGACTCAATGTGATCTTGGATCACTAAAAGTAAAATGTAGAGTCTTGAGCTTTAGAGCTTGAGCCAATCTTTTTTCCTTAGCATTTTGAGGTGTCCACATTTCTAATCCATGCCATGCCAATCATTGAGCTTTCCTGAAATATTTATCTTGA